GGGTGGGAGGGCGGTCACGATGTGGGAAAAGGGGATCCATCGGGAGTGGGATCCAAAGAACCAATCACCTCAAGGCCCTCGTTTCTGAGACTTCTGATGTCAATCACAAATCTCTTTATCTCTCTTCCTACCTAACTTTGTGGGAAAAGAAAAAGAATGACTTCATAGGGAAACAAAAAAAAGTCGACATCCAATCATTGCTGTGACCTGTGAACAAGGCCCCACCTGACAAAGGAAAAAAAAAAAAAAAAAAACACGAAACGGCAAGTGCACCTTTCAGACCACTCTGCAATTCTCGTTCGCAGTTGTGGACAAGTTGCCTGGAGCCATTCAGCTCCTCTTTCTTCCTTCTCCTCCTCCTTGTTATTATCCCTCTTCCTCCCTTTCCACCCATCCACCCATCCTCCTCCTCCTCCTCCTCCTCCTCCTCCTTGTTCTTCCTCCTCCTCCTTCCCTCCTGCACCCCCCTCTCCTCCTCCTGTTGCTGCTATCCGTGTGCCACCGCCTCCTCCTTATGCTCCCTCTTCCTCTCTCCCTTCCACTCCCCTCCTCCTCCCTCCCAACCCCCTTCCTCCTCGCTCCCACCCCCCCCTGTCCTACTGTTGATGCTATATGTGGATGCTATATGTGTACCAACCTTTCACTGCAGCGAAGCGCAATCCGCACGCAGCGATTTCCTGTCAATTTCCAGCTCAGCAATACAAGAGGCTAGCCATTGCGTGCAAGCTCAGCAAAAGTCACATGGCTGCACAAACGCTCTCTCCGCAAAGCTGCTGGCCCTGCCAAGTGCCAGCTCGGCAAAGTGCGAACGCAGCTATCTCCACTCCTCTCTGAATTAGTTCGCAAGTAAGTCCATGTTCACCCACATGCACTTTTGCTGCCAGCTCAGAAAATGTGCCATCTCACCACCTTCGCTACGCAGGGACATGCCCAGCTCGGCTACTGAATGAACGTATTTGTAATTTCCATGCCTCTCTGCGTGACTGGGCTGTCTCCCTGCCTCCAGAACGCGTGCCACGAGCTTGCAGCTAGCCGAACCTAGCCCAGCAGGTTGCCGTTTTATGTATCACGCTGCAGATACAGGGATCGAATCTTGATTCTGCCACTGGTAGGTTACCGTGCTATGTATCACGCTGCAGATCCAGGGATCGAATCTTGATTCCGGCACTGGACTTCTAGAAAGAAAAAAAGAACAAGCTAGCCTAGTCAGTTACCGTTCTATGTATCATGCTGTAGATGAAGGGATTGAATCTTGTTCGGCCACTGGGCTTCTAGAAAAGAAGAAAAGAACGTGTGCCACATCCGGCTGCTGAAAGTATGTATAAACGCCATGCCCATGTGCTTGGGCCGAGGGTCGTGTGCTCATCATGTGACGGTGGTGTGACTTTCTGCAGAAGACCACTGGCTTATGAAACGAGCCTCCGTATTAGCCGACATATTAAACCAATCATCAACAAAAGCGCCAGGTCAGCGCAACAACCACGTCTGCAACGGTGCCCACACACTTAACAATAATGCCTCCTGCATAAAATGCCAGCTCAGCTGAATATCTGCCGACTCAGCCCACCAGCCCAGCGCACCGTCTGACCAATCATGATCAAAAGTTCCAGTCAGCACAACAGCCTGTTCTGCAACAGTCCGCGGCACAGTTAACAGTAATGCCTCCTGCGTAGAAGAATGCCAGCGCGGCTCACCATCCGCCGGCTCAGCATGCCAGGGCAGCTCACTATCCGCCAGCTCAGCATGCCAGCTCAGCGAACCACTTATTTCTGAGCTGGCAGTTGGCAGCTCGGCGAAATTTCGAAAATGAATGATCATTTACATGGACACGTCTCTATCACCATCGTCTGACCGGATAGCTTCAATCAACTCTTCAATTGTCAGAGGATCATGACGCGCAGCATACTGAAACAAAATCTGCACAGGAAAATGAAGGAACAAAAAAGGTTAAAAAGAACTTCAAACAGATATAACCGGAGAACAAACTAGATACGCACAACAGCCATGATAGTGCAAAGGCCAACGCTCAAAACTACGGTTGCATTTTATGTCTGTGCTAACAGTACTAAGCTAGTTGGCATATGCCAACTTAGCACATACATAGAGCACATGCTATGTCTGTGTTATGTCTGTGCTGAGTTGTCATATTCATAGCACAGACATAGCACAGACATAGCACAGACATAGCACAAGCATTTTATTTATGTGCTAAGTTGTCATATTCATAGCACA